GCGGTTCAGCTTCAGCAGCAAAATCAGCAACAAGAGTCATTGTGCTCGGAAATGGCACGCGAATTATGCCGCGCGATACGCTGTCACGCCTCGTCGCGCAGGAGAAAAGCCTGCGAAAAGTGTTCAACTCATGTCGGCTATCCTCTGGACAATTCCACGCCCACGCCAATCAACGGCGTGAGATCACAAGTAATTATTAGATGCATTCGATGAATCAAATGTTTATCTTATTGTTTCGCCATAGGTGATTCGCCAATACCTTTACGGCTTACAAATAACGTATAATTATGGCTATGGTAATAATTTCACATAATAATGCTCTTTGTGCGCTTTCACAATTTTATGTTATGATGTATACTCTGCATTTTTTTAAATTACTCTTTAAATATAGGCATTGTAATTGTTAAAGTCTAATGTTTAAATTTAAATTTTAAATTTAAATATATATTCATTATCGTAAAGTAACGAAATGAACTGACTTATCGAAGTATCTATAGCAAGAAAAATATCGAAATTTTTTTCAACGCCTCATTAATAAATATTAAAAAAATGACTTCCGTTCACAGTTTGTGATGAATCTTCCTGAGAACTTTTAACATAATTTTTTTCAGTTAGCTATTTCAAATTGTACTAAATCTACGATTATCATAAAAATATCGATTTACACTATGATAGAGGATATATTTTTAATTAGTTGATATTGCATATATATAATAGGTAAAATATATGATTTAACCACATTTAAAGTGATATCTTATAATCATATACATATATTATATATACTATATATTATCATATACGTATATAATACATATATATTGTTTTGTTATCGTGCTAAAAATTTATAAAACGAAATGCATTTTATTGATATTTATTAATGTAACGTAGTTATAAAAGCTTTATTATGTTAATTAATTTTTTTAGAAAAATATTATAATTTTTAATGGTGTTTTAATCTTTATTTATATTTACTTCGTTTATAGTCAATGCTATATTTCATGTTGAAAATTGAAATAATTTGATCAAATAATTATATCTCGTCTGTTCTACTGTAACTTCTACTGTAATCAAATTTAGATATTCTTACACGCGCGCATGCATGCTTGCATGTACGTATACACACACACACACACGCGCGCGCGCGCGCGCACACACATATATATATATATATACGCTCACGCGCACATGCATTTCACACATGCATACTAGCGAATACAAATCTATGCGCGCGCACACACACACACACACACACACATATTGAATGTACAGAACTGAGTGCAAATTATTTTAAAACTTTTTCTTCATTTGTAGAAAAAAATTTATGTAATATTTCGCTGTTTCCATTATATAATATAATTGTAGATTGAAAATTTTCAATTCTACATAATTACCGCTTTTAAATTTACGGACAATATATGTTTCAGTATAAAAGAAAGCATCCTATAGATTATTTTTACATACGCAAAATTTGTTTGAAATAATATTTAAAAGAAAAAATGATCGTCGATGATAAATATAAGTTTATTTTAATAAATTAACGATTTATAAAAATTGCTTATCATCATTTAGATTTATAATACGATAATAGATTAATATTAGAATATCACGTAGGCAAATAATTTGCTACCAGATGTTTGAATTATGTAACTTGAGTGCCTATTTTTTATTTATATATGAATAAGGATAGAATTAAATATTAAATCTATCTTTGATTTTTCATATGTTCCTATTCCTTGAACTTACGGAATCAAGTAAATAATAAATAGTAAACTTTTATCCATCTATATATGATAAATCGATTGTATGACAATTTACTTTTATAACTTTAACATAATTTAATATATTTTATAAGTTATTTAATTGGTTTAGGCAAGTAGTTTGGGATTGGACATGGCACCCCACATTCACATGCATCATCATTCTCCACCTCAGGATTACGATGGAAACTAATCGCGACCAAACAAAAATTAACAAGATACGCTTTAAATTATTTTTACCGATAAAGAAATGTTTATAGAATGAAGAAACATCATTTATAAAACATGCACATTTCTTAGCATTAAGATACAAAAATTATTGTCTTGTAGAAGGCTGTCATGCGAACGACTTATTTGTGCACATTAAGTACAGATTAATTTCTATCAACAGATAAATGTCTAAAAGCGATACATTAATAACATTATAAGATATTTAGATGTTTTCTAAATTCCTTAAAAATTTACAAATATCTAAGATTATTGTATGAAACTTGAACTTAAAATTATATTGGTATTGATTTTCATTGGTTTTGTAAATAGATTTCTACATGCGATGGTAAATACAAAGTAAAATCAAGATGTAAATAGATCGATAGTCAGAAACCACGTCTGTCTAAACAAATAAAAGTAATTAAGTGATTTTTATCTCTGATATTAATGAATTTAATATTATCTCTAAATTATAATTGAGAAAGCAGTCAAAGTACTGAATACGATTTCAATGTTTGATGTAATACCTTCTACAAAAATGTAAAATGCCAATAGATATAAAATAAATGTCAAATACATACTACTAATTTTAACAGGTTAAGGGTTACTCAATTATATTACTCAATAATATTTATTTAAATGACGTGAAAAAAAATTGTTTATAATGATATTTTTATTTTTAGTAAATATCCAGAACCATGAATATAAATTTTGCTCTAAACCTGTTAATATATTATTATATCTCTGATTTGATAAATCAATTAATTATAACTACAAAAAATCCATAAAAAGGAAATATGTAAATATAAAATTAAATGTATAATAATTTAAGTCTTTTCATTAAAAAAAAATATTACTGTTTAAATAACGTAGAATGATATTCGACGAAGTCTGTATTGTAGTTATAACATAAATAATAACAATAGACTAGTATCTTTTAATTATTTATAGAATTTCAAAGTATAGGCACAAAATTTTAATGAAATTAACGTTCTTATATGGATTAAGTTCATACGTGGAGTTCCCGTTCCGTCTACATATAATATATATTTATATATATTTTGTATTATAACATTATGTCTAAAGTGTACACTTATATATTAATAAACACGTAAAATGTGATTAAGCGTATCATAACTGTGTTTAACAATAACATTAAAAATGCTGATTTATCAATGT